ACTACCACTACTACCACTACTACCACTACTACCACTACTACCACTACCACCACTACCACCACCACCACCACTACTACTACCACTACCACTACCACTACTTTTGCTACTGCTACTACTACTACTACTACTACTACGACTACTACTACTATTACTACTACCATTGCTATTACTACTACTACTACTACTACTACTACTACTACTACTATTACTTCTACCATTACTTTTATTACTACAACTACAACTACAACAACAACAACTACTACTACTACTACGACTACTACGACTACTACGACGACGACGACTACTACTACTACTACGACGACGACGACGACTACTACTACTACTACTCGGGCCCCGGAAGTTTCCCAGTTTTGGGCCGCCCAGTACGACCACTACTGAAATGATCTGAGTTGTATTATTAGTTGGGCACAGGTCTCCTGATGAAGGCATTCGCTTCCGACAAAGCAGTAAGACTAGGCGCTGAAGGACTTGTGCGATGGGCTGAAATACACAACGAGGGTGATGTCAATGTGGCTGTTTTGAAATGTAATGATGGGATCATTCGAAGTAACGTATTTTTGTTTTCTAATTGGTTGGTGAGTTAGTCAGTCAGTCAGTCAGTCAGTCAGTTAGTTAGTTAGTTAGTTTTGGTTAGAACTAGTTAGAAATAGTTGGGCAGTTAATTAATTAGGGTATTAGGGGTAGTTAAGGTTAGCTAAGGTTAACTAAGGTTTGTTTTGTTTTGTTTAGGTTAAATTAGTTTAGTGTGGCGTGCAGTAGTTTAGTTTACCTCAGGCTTAATTTAAGCTATAGTCTAGTTCTGCTTTTATTTAGTTTAGTTCTAGGATAAACCTTAGTCAAGATGCATTTAACCTGAAGTATAAAGTTAAATTTAATTTTTGTCAGTTTGTGGGTGAGTCAGTGAGTGAGTGAATGAGTCAGTCAGTCAGTTAGTTAGAGCTAGCTAGTTAGTTAGTTAGTTCGGTAGTGGTATACTTTGCCTGACATCAGGCATGCAGTACGTGGGTTATGCGGAGATGGCATCAGCTGTTTCCAACGCAGCTTGGAGTGGCACTGGGAACATCCTGTTCATTTTCCCGCACGCTTTGAATCCGCGCTCCAGTGGGCGATTGTTGTGGCAACGCGCCGCTGCAAGAACACAATTACATGCAACGGGCAAGAACATGATAGGGTGATAATGCATGATAATGCCAAGTGTGCATAGTGTGGTGCGGTTCGGTGCTGCTGACAAACTCAGGGTGCTGCAGTTGTTTGGCACCATCGAATCGGCTCCATGTGTCACATAGTGCAGTTTGATCAAGTAGTTGCTCATGGGCCACAGCGCGTGTCATCGATCAATGACACTCATTCTGCGCCAGAAAATGCCAGACGTCCTTGTAGAAAAGGACGTCGTTCCACAGGCTGGAGGATTGGGCATCCTAACAGCTTTGACGCAACCATCCCCGGAAGCTTTACGGGCTGATGCTTGGAGGCCTTCAGTTGCACAGTGCAACACATTTTTCAGCAAACAACCCCATAAAAGACAATTTCATAGTGACTAACTAAGACTTGGAACTGAGGAGATCCACAGGTGTCGAACGATGACGGACCGAATTTTGCAAGTTTGTTCCTTTTTTTGGGGGGTTGATTGACAACATGGCTGTCACAGTTGCGGCAGCATTCATTGTGGAGTGACACACTGTGCATGGCGTTGCTCCACAACATGCAGGCACATGATACGTGGTGGGGCGGCGGGGGCAGGACAAACCATTTGGAGTGAATTTGACAATTTTGCCCGCCTTGATTCCAGCAGACCCTCGGCCAGCAAGTCTGGAAAGTGTGAAAGGCGGTGCGTGGAGGGGTGGTTCTTTATGATTTATTTGTGCCATGCTGCACTGCCAAACGTGAAATGCATTGAAATGCCACCCGATTGTACAGCCATAGTCATAGTCATGCCGTTTTTTGGCCGTTGACACAGAGGAGAGTAGGGCATTGTTGGAGCTGCGATTCGACCAGAAATGGCAGCAAAATGATGACAAAATCTATATTTCTGGACACGGACACGGTGGACGCGTGAAGTCTGAGAACTTAAGCTTCGTCACCAACGATTGGATTAGGCATCGCCGGATACATCTCTCTCTTTCTTTCTTCTCCTTTTGCCTCTCCTCCTCATTCTTCTCGTCCTCCTGTTCCTCCCTGCCTGGCTGGCTTCCTCCCTTGCAAACATCATTGGTGCTTGTGCCAATGCTTTCTCAAAAAGGTGCCCTCAAGTCTTTGATTTTTTTCGAGTTCCAGTTGCTAGTCAAAGTTCACTCCCCTGGTTTGTGGCATTTGCTGCCAGGACTACGATTCTTACGCCCGAGTCGTTGCGGAGGAAAAGGTGCACTTCGATTGATGTGTATGCATTAGGTGATGCTGTAGTCAGTCTTGCAGGTAGCTCTCGTAGAGTTAGCAGCTGGATCACCCAAAAGGTACACGCCCATGTGGAAAGCTGCAGCGTTCTCAGCTTCTAGATGCTGTCAGTGAGCTCGCAACATTTGGTAACCATAATTGTATTGTGTATATGCATACGTATGTTATGTTTTTTAAAGATAATCTATGTACGAAGGACCACGGCGTTGATGCAACAAAGCCGGCCAAGGCCGGGGTCAAAGTGCTGCACAAATCGGCAACGATGCGTCACGCCCTTAAGGCCAAGTGATATGTTGGCTTGGCATTTGCAAAGTTGTTGCTTGAAGATATGGACACCTTGGATGGCAGTGAAACCATTTTTCTCTCCTTTGTCATGGTCCAACAGCATTTTCTAGCAGGCTCTGGCACGATTTGGGAGCTGCTTAGGATAGCAAAACAAGAGCCAAAACTCTCTCAAGGATGGTGTGAACCATTTCCAGCCTGAACTGGGAGGCCCAAGAAGCAGGAGTGGACATCATCGAAATTGTTGGCTACGAAGGCGTCAGCTGTGCCTGTGCTTTTGTGGCATACTTTGTTCAGGGGCAATGCTCTGCGTTGTAGGGAGGGTTTGGCGCTGGGCGACAGGTGGCAAGATTCATGTCATTCAGATGCACCAATCATTGTAGGTTCCATTGCCGGGGGCCAGCCTGGTGATGAGGCTGCCTACTAGAACGGGGTTTCAACCAATTCCCAGTCCTATTGATTTCATCATTTGTTTCGACTTTCAGGTGGGTGCTTGGGTGCTCCTGGCAAAGGCAAGTCACTAGTCCAGACGGAGTTCAACTGTTTGTCGTGGTATAGGGCACCGACATGTACAGACTTTTTCCTCGCAGCTTTGCATAGCTTGAGCTCGCGTGCTTCCAGGCAACCTCAACACTGAGAGTGCCAGTGGTTGCTGCTGGTGCTTCAGGTGCTGCTCGGGGTGCTTTCAACTGGACCCTGTGTTCGATGGACAGCTGTTCTTGCCGCACCGTGTGTCTCAGCAGAACGTACACAATTACAAACGTCAGGCAAGCAGGTCACGGACATGCACCCTTGCTTTCTCTAAGTGCTTCTTCAGCATCAATCTTTTAGGGGTTGTTTTTTTGCAGACAGGGACTGGCCGTCAGCTTGCCGCTGCGTTGGCTATGGGGGTTTGGCACCGAGAGGGCAGGCAACAGGATCAGCAGAGCATTTGGGGCTTAACCTATATAGAACATTTTTGTGTTTTGGAAGTGGCTAGAGGCCTAGAAGCAAGACCCCTTCCAAGTCCAAGTCCGGGATGAAGTGATCGAACGTGTGCAAGCCTGTAAAGTCCCAGGCGCAGGGAGTGACGATGGCCACACGCTTCCTTTGCACGGTGGAGGATGGGCGATTTGTACACAACAGCTATTGTCACCCATGCACGATTATGGTTATTGTATGTTATTGTCACCACTGGCCCTGTACTTTGTGACTCACTGACTGACTGACACTCTCACACTCTCAATCACTCTCTCTCTCTCTCTCTGCGTGCTTAAGTGACTAGGCGCCCATCGACATGAAAATCAAGGCGCCGGGGATTTGTTTTGGTTGCTGCCTCGGTAAACCGTGGGCCATTCAGCCAGGAGTGCATGGCACGCCCAGAAGTTGACGAGAGGCTGGTTGGTAGACAGTTGAACTTGAACGCTTTTTTGGTGGACTAAGCTCTCCTCAAAATAGAAAGTCCACAAAATCACACAACCTCACACAAACTAGTTCTTAATCAATGATATTTCCCCATTTCATCCTTCCACTTCCTATGCGCATTGGCTTGGCCAGGCAAACGACCATTGTTTTGGGTACCTTGAGCAACGCCACCCGGGTCTTCAAGAACGGCGTGGCTGAAGAGATACGGCAGATTGAACGTCAAGGTGGGAACAATTTTAAGAATCTTAAAGACTTAGACCCTGCTTGTGCTTCGGAGTGTTCAGCATGCCCCCCAATTAAATTCTTGGCACAGGTTGTTGCAAAGTCATGAGACGGACAACGGTGCTTTGTTGATAAATTATCATCGTAGCAATCTCAAATGGAGAAGGTTTTTGATCGCAAATTGCAGCTCAAGATCCTTTAAGATCCTCTTCTTTTGTCCGGAACCTGAAGGGTTCTCTTTTTACCAGAAAGGACATGACACGGTGGAGCCTGGTGGTGTTCTCGTACCTTGGGCTGGCCTATGATTTGCTTGAGGTTGATGATGAGTGCCGCGGTGCTGAAAGCTGCAGCCTCGAAGCACTCCAGCTAAAAGCAGGAACCACTGGAGACGGAGAGGCCGGTGCCGAGGCTCCTCAAAGAATGGGGACCTTCGGAACGGTGCATGCAATGTTCACCTATGGGGCTGTTGCAACCAGCAAGTCGCCTCTTCCAGACCTGTCTCGAAAGAGCAAGAACTTTCGGGGCTTAAGATGCTACACTGAAACCATTTTGGGAGCCACGAAGCAGGACGACATCGCCGCAATTTTTGAAACCAACTTGTATCATGCACGAGTCCCGACACTGGCTCTACACTGGCAGAAGGATTCGGAATACTATGGTGGTGCAGGTAGGCCAGACCTACCGAAGCACTCTGCAGGCCGCCATGGTGATATAGACCATCATAGCATGAGACACTACATTGACAGACTGTCCCACCTACATTTGAATCACACTGACGTCTCAAAGAAGGACCCCTTCAATCTTGGCACCTTATTCGCATTCTTGGCTTGGGGGGCCTATGAGAAGCAACAGTATTGGGTCTCGAAAAGGGATGTGACCATGGAACAGCTGATTGCGGATCACCTTCCGCAGTGGAGACTGGTGGCACAAGTGCAGCAAGATACGCTAGAAGCTGTTGACAACATGTGGCTTGTCCAAAACGAACAATCCCTCGATTGCGTGCTGGCATTTGAGGGGACTCATTCATTTCAAGAATTTGGTCGAAATTTGCATGGAGGCGATTTGGGCTATTGTGGCTTTTTGGATGTCCATCGTGGCTATGCGGACAAGCTGTATTGGCTCACGCTTTACAGCATGCCAGAGCTTCGGCCCTCCCTTTCGAAGTGTAATAAGGTGATGTGCACCGGCCATTCATTGGGAGGATCCCTGTGTGAAGTCTTTGCGGCGTGTGCCAACTCCGGCAGAACATCAGATCCACAATTCCAGAGGCAACACTTCAGCAAAGGAACGCCCGAACTTATGGAGCCGATCCACCAAAAGCCTTTGTCTCGACACTGGAAGGCATAGGTCCTGGCGGGGCCTGGCGAGAATGGGGTGCCATTATCCAGCCCACAAGAGGCTTAGATCCAAAGTGCGAAAAGCAATGTCGGGCCTATTAGTTCAGTTACAGCTTTAGTAGGTTTGGCTAGGAGGCTTTCTGTATCGTACTGTGCGGGTTGCTCAATGCTCTTTCCTTGCAGCATTTTAAATTGAAAAAATCGTGGAAAGATCGGTACAGTCACTGCCAGGTGACGTTGACTTCAGTCAAGTGATGCCACTAGCATCCGGTGGCAGGACAAAGAAAATGCCGCTTGGAATGCAGTGTGTCGGACGTGAATGCCAAGCTGCACCCATGACAGCCCTAATGAGCAGAAACTAGGGGAGGGAAAACATAGAACACATAAATACCTCTGTTTTTAACCGGTGGTTTAACCCTAGTCCGGATGATCCACATATATCCACATGAAGAATTCGAATGTGTGTGTAGGATTTGGCATGCCTCGTGCCCATGTCAACCTCAATCAGATTGACGTACTTTTTAAGTAAGGCCAGGTGTGTGTTGTTTATATTTGCTCCATATCTTCCAGAACCACTGAGTCGCTGAGGTGGCAAGAGACGGGCGATACGCAAGACGCGATGTGGAGTTGCTCTCAGAGCCTTGGTGTTATCAGCCGGGTGTCCCAGTTTTGTCAGTCCACTGAACAACTGACACATTCAACTAATTACTGTATCAGAATTTGGCAGCCTGCATAACGTCGAGCTTCATGTCAAGTCCCCAAATGACCTCCCACACACTCCCACTCTGCATGAACGTTTCATGTTTGTATAGAATCTAGCTGAGTGTAGTGTAGCCGCAGATGTGCCTTCCAGATCCTTCCTTCCAGGTGACATCCCCACATGCAAGGAGCTGTTGAGGCACGGGCACCCAATGATGCCAACATGCAAAACATGGGACGTCACGGAGCTGGCCTTTTCGCGCAATGGTAGTGAGATCAAAAGAAGACCAAACAGTGGGGAAGAGTAAGAGGAGGTGAGTAGTCTAGAGTCTAGGTTTTCAGCACAGCGCCACTTACACTTGAGATGAGATCAATGAGGCGTATGGTTGCAGAGGCTGAGGAACGTCTCAACCACGGAGCGAAATGCATAATCAACTCAAAGCTTTGAGTCTCTCAGCTTTGTGCTAATGAGGGCCAGGGATTCAGATGATTCCCGGTCATGCAGTGCCAGGCTTTGATCCGGGATCTTAATGTAATGAAATGTTATGTAAGTTCCGAGCCTCTTTCTCGACCAAAGCCTGAGTAATTCTTTCGAACTGAGTGTCTCTGTGTGAGTATCTCTCAGTATTGCCTCTCTCATCTCCGTGACAAGGAGTCTTAGAATCGGTGTGTGATGTTTGCGCAGCCTGGGCTGACATTTGGTTGGCCAAAAGTGGGGGGTGAACGTTCCTTGGTACGGCTGGCAACACCCTACCTTAAAGGACCAATGATGAACGGTGGCACAACATCATACAACATCAATACTTCATCACCTTCACAACCCTTTGGGATATTTTGGGACCATCGCAATTTCACGGACATTCGAGGCAGCTACAGGTACACTTGCTCACTTTGCCCCCGCTTGGGTCATGGCGCCTCATGGCTGATACGTGTTGAGGGGAGTAGGCAGCATTCTTGTCTCGCGATCTTGACCCGCAGCTGGGAGTGATCGATTTAATCAGATTTGTTGTTTCACCCTTTCACCTGCATGGGAACTCCTGAGTTTAATTTGCGACATGCGAGACAGGTGGCGAGGGTGGAGTTGCGCAGAGTGTTAGTCTACACGTGCTTGGAGTGAGTGAAGCACCAGCGCTAGCATGTTTTCATAGTGTATTCTTTGACTTCACACAACCCGTTAGTATCAAACAAATCAAATGGCTACCTTCCTAACCGTGGCGCCTGTGCAATGGCCATGCTGCAGATGATAAAGGTGCCTGATGCCCTGGGCCGAGTTGCAAGCAATAGAATATATTATATGGTCAGATTGGGTGAAGAGTGCCATGAGCCATGAGAGAAACAGTCTGAGCGCATGCGTTTACTTTGCAGTGTTGTCTTCAGCATGGAGCAAGTAGAGCCTTACATGCCTTTCGTTCCCTTTCATCCACCTTGTTGGCTTTTTAAGCGGTGTTGGTGGGGTGACTCAAGACTGTGCTGCCTTGGGCTGAGCTGTAAGGTCCAGCCCTCGAAGCCCACGAGGGAATGAGAGCCCACGAGGTGTTGAAAGCCCTCAAGTCGAAGGCAGTCCCAGAGGCAGCAGCCTCAGACCAACTGCTTGGGACCTAGTAACTTTTCAGTATTATATATATATTGTATATATATATATGTGTGTGTGTGTGTATTGTATAGAATTGTTGCGCTTGGTAAAGCTGGTGGGTAGAGTTGTGCGGAAGTTTGTGGATGCCGCTCTTCTCCAAAGGTGGAAGTCCTCGCGGGAAAAGTTGTTGGAATTGGCCGGGGAACTAAGGCTACGATTACACACCAAGAAACGGAGAGAGACAGAGAGAGGGGAGCAGAGAGAAAACAGTGGACTCCTTGTGGCTTCGGTCGACGTATGTCGACAGGCAAGCCTTGTGCGACTCAGGAAATGCATGAATTCATCAGATGCTAACAAAGCTATTGCAGAATTGGGGCTCCCAACACATCTTAGCACTGTAGTCCATTCCAGCCTTAAGCAGCATCTTGGTGTTCGTGGTCAAACTATCGCATGAACACAAGCTGCCAGCTTTTGACTGCATTGGCCGAGGAGTGACAATGAGAGCGAAGGTGGAGATAGTGAGGGCCCAAAAACTGGTGCGAATTTGAGCCGTGAATGAGGAATGTCCAGAATACCTCAGTTTTTTGTTTTCGTCTTTGGATTGTTACGTGTCAAGCAAGTACACTCAGCACACTGTTGGCTTATGAAAAATAAATAATCAATAACTGATGATCCTGAAAAAGACAATAAAAACAAAAAATAAACAAAAAACAAACAGCACAAAAAAACAATCACAAAATGTGTAAACACAACAGACAACAAACAAAAAACAAAAAACAAACAAACATAAAACAAAACTAACACAAGCACCCAGAACACGTCTATTTGTTCTGCTTTTTTTCTGTTCTAGCAAAAGCTGGCCTTGAAATCAGGTTTTCTGTAAAAACCCTAGGAAAAAACAAAAAATAAACAAAAAATAAACAAAAAAGAAACAGAAAAGAAACAAAAAAGAAACAAAAAATAAACAAAAAATAAACAAAAAAGAAACAAAAAATAAACAAACAATAAACAAAAACAACACAGCTCGAAATGGAGGGAAGGACGGTCTTTGACCGGGTTTTCTGTTTTTGTATTTATTTATTTATTTTTTTTTATCTTTTTAATGATTTCCAGTCTTTGATGGGTCTTGATCATCATAACTGTTGGCTTTGCATTGGCGATTTGTATCAAGTTGACTAGTGACTAGTGATCATGATTGTCAGGCGCGTGAATTGTGATCTTGACTACCCTGTGCTTAGCAAGGAAGTCAAGGTTTTTGCTGGCCATTTCGCACAGACAGTTGGGGTCATGATTTTCGGTTCGGGGGGGTCCAGTTGCAATTTGCCATTACCATTCACATCGTTGGATGGTCGCCTTTTCTGGAAGACCACCCGCTCTGCGGACAATGTAGTGAAGGTGCCAAGCAGTTGCCCAGGCGAGGAAAGTTTGGATGCTGAGCGTGAAGCACCCAGTGCTTGTGACTACTTCGTCGTCGTCGTCGTTGTCGGAGCACTTATTTCAAGATAGCAATGGGAAGTAGTAGTCTCAAGCCGTAAGCACACACACAACATCAGCACCAACTTCAAAGTCACCCACTTTTGTAAGACCCCTGTGCCTGTGGATGTCTTTAAGTGGCTGAGATTGAGGACCTGACAAAGCCAAGGAAACTGCATGATTCCCAGCTGTGAAGTGACAAACAGGATGTGATGCCATCACAGAAGTTGTGTTGCCAAACGAAAGCTTGATATTGGAAGGAGGACAGTCAACAGTCAATAGTTTCAGTCCCAACTGGAAGAGAAAGGCGGCATTCTGCTACTTTACTATTGCTCGCCATGTGATCATGTTTCAATTTTAGTTCTTCTCAGTGCTGCCAGGTCCAAGAGAGGCACGCAGATTTTGTCAGTGCTTCGGGGTTGACTCAAGTTGTCCACTGCATTGAGCTAGTTGCTAGCACACCCATCTTGAGAATATAGTCAGGTGATGTCAGGTGCATCCAAACAATGCCTAAGGTGCCATAACATTCACCACCCCGAATCCATGCGAATGCCAGGAGTACATATGAGAAATTGATTGGAACAGTTGCTGATGGGTGTTGTTCTGATGGCGCATGCCTTGGAGCTACAACACTCGCAGGGAACAACAATAGTATGCAAACAGTTTTTCGTTGCATGACTCGACTCATGCTCAGCATTTGATGCAGGCGTGAGCCACTTCGGTCCAAGATCAAGAGGCCAGCGGATGGCCGGCGGTGCTGCGTTTTGACCATAGGACATGACCGTCCGACACTGAAGAACACTTGGCCACCCTTGCAGGGTGTTTTACAGTCTTGGTGCACAAAGTAGGCGAAGGAAGACTCTCCACTGACTGGGCCAGCTTCAGAGTTTGTTCAAAGCGCCGGGAGGTTATTTCATGTTATTTCGACAGATGGACAGTGCAAGGCAGAGCATAATCTTATGAAACACTAAGACGGCCAATATGTGAGTTGGTGGTAGTGATGCCGATCAGGTGTTTCCGTGCCTTTTGCCGAAGGACTCTTCTGAATCAGGGATGGGTGTGGGAGAGCACCACTGGAAATCGGTGGAAGAGATACGGATCCTCAAACTGCCAATCCTTTGCATTAAGCCTCAAGCTGAATTTTGAGAGAGGAAACAATGTTTTGCAGATGAGATCTTGGATTCCGATTCCTTGCTGGAAATTGCGCTTTGATCATGCATGCCTTTCATGGAAGCTGAATGCTGGAGTTGTTGGAACAAGCGTGTGGCAGGATCACCCGATGTCCAAAATGCAGATGTTGCGTGGTTGTCTCAAAAGCTTTCACCTGGAGACATTTCGACCTCAAAACGTCACCTTCTTTGAATAGCTTAACTTATTACTGTAATCAATTTTCATTATTATAGGGAATCACACTTTGATGGCATCCCGCCTCTGGCACAAAATGATGGACATGGGGTACCACTAAGACCTTACCGGAGACCTATGTTTTGAGGGTGGGTGCCATCAACGTGTGCTGTGTTGTGACTCTGCAGTTTAAGGATTCCGTCGCCCACATGTGAACAGCTCCTTTTCGCGATTGCTGAGCTGTTGCTGAACCACTCAGACTCAGGACATCCTTCCATCAAATTGAATACAAAAAAACAACATCAACATACAGTACATATAGGGAATCACACTTTGATGGCACACCATGATCAAAACCGGCGATCTGTGGTTGAAGCCTCACTAGATGCCATCTATGTTCCAGGATCTAGCCTCAAGTGGTTGATGGCATTTCCCAAGTAGAGATCACAAATTGATGGCATATCAAGGGCGTTTTGCGAGTGCCATCAAAGTGTGATTCCCTGTATACAATTATGTATGAGATCCATCGAGAGTTTGTTGCTCATGGTTGTTTCTTCACCCTGTCAATGTGGGGCGCGATCATTTTTGGCGCTTCCCCTACCTTTCCACCCGTCCAGGTGGGTTGTGTAGCGTTGCCTTGCTACTTGACTACTTGACAAACCCCTTTCCAGATGGTGAGTGCGTTCTACTTGGTTTTTGCCAAGCAGTTCAATTCCTGCCCTGTTTCTGGCCGCTCCCTTCATTGAGTTTTTGAGTTTCTGATTGCAAAGGTCTACACGATGCCCTGCTTCTACTGCTGCGCTCCAGATCAGATGCTGGATAGGCAATGATCCTCACATGACCCCAAGCACATTTGTTTGCGATTGACCTTGTCTTGTGGGCCATGTCCTTGCTTGATATTCCATCGTTGGCCTGCTAAGGTACTTCCCACGGCATTGTTTTCAATCGAAGGTAGACACGTGCCATCAGTTGAGGTAGAATACCGTGGCACATCCCCAGGTACTCCTCCCCAGGTACATCTCATAGCATTTGAGAGATCCCTCCTCAGTTGCTCAGCAGCTGCTGCATTTCGCCAGGGAGGTGCTCATTGAGCAATTGAAAGCGGCCAGCAGCGGAAAAGCACCCAGCATGAACTTGGTGGAGGCAGGCAATACTGCAAATAGCTGCCAGGTGAGGGCATGTGAGGGCCCAGGAGGCAGCCAGGGGGCTTTTGGTGATGAGTATCGATGTACAAAGGGGCTTCCTTCTTTCAGTTTTCGACCAATCCCTGGCTGCTTTAACAACATTGTTACCCTTCTGCGTCAGCAAGTGTGCTATTTGTATAACTGCGAAAAAATATGTACTGGAAGGGGGTAGAGAAGAGGTGCAAGCATTGTTCCTGAGACATGGAACTGCTTACTGGTTGCAGGAGACAATGGCAGCTGACCAGGAGCGAATGGCCCACCACAAGAAGAAGTGGCCCCTTTGCTGATAGCGTTGATACCAGCGAAATAGGTTCCTTTCCTGTTGGTTGCTGCTTTTGCAGTGTCCTTAGTGTCACTGGACAGGTGATCATTCCATCCACTTCACAACATCCCCTCTTCGGCCCAAACCGGGATCCCTGCTGGCAGCATGATAAGCCAAATTTGGACGACCCTGAGCCAGTGCTCCAAGAGCCTGGTGGCAATGAGGGGTTTCCTGCATGAACTTCGGCAGACGTCGCGCCCCTTTGCAGAGCTGGACCCTTTGTAACCCTTAACCAGGAAGCATGGGTGGCTGGGTACTTTAGGCCTTCGAGACGAAAGCTTGATCATTTGGACTCGTTACTACTGCAATAGCTTCTTGTTACTACTAGTCAGGGACTTGTTACTAGAAGCGATGCCCTTGTTACTGGTTACTAATAGCTTCTTGTTACACAGTAAGGCACTTGTTACTAAAACGATTCCTAAGTCCGCGATTTTAAGGATGTCCAAAGAACTTGTGATGTGAGTTTAGCCTCTCCGTTTGTTGGCTGCCGAGACCTGGGGCACACTGTGTGTTCAGGGCTGCCTCCTCTACTCAGGCGAAGCCGTTGGCGTGCCGGTGACCTATTGAGTGCAATTGACCTATTGAGTGCAATTGAGCATTCCAAAACCACTTGAAAGATCTTGAAAGCAATGGTTGCAGTTGCAGCAGGGCTATATTAGCCGGCTGCCTATTTTCCAACAATAATCACCTGAGTCCAATAAGAGTCACCACTACTGAGGTTTGCAGCTGTTGTTGCTGCTGCAGCTTGCTGGGTGGGCTGGGGGCCCCGGCCGTCCTGGCCAGGAATTCCTGCAAGTTGAGCACTTGCAAGTTGTAGGATGTCATCAACATCAAGTTGCACTCGTTTGACCTTCAGTTTCGAGTTATACAGAACAAGAAATCATGCGGTGCCACTAGCTTTTCGGAAGAAGCTTGGCCAACGTGTGCCAATCCAAGGATTCGAAGTCGTGTGGGGCCGGGTTGTGGCCGGAACTACTGTACTTTCCTAGCTTCTTGTTCCTAGTAGCGATGTCCTTGTTTCTAATAGCTTCTTGTTACTACTAGTAAGGCACTTGTTACTAGAAGCGATGCACTTGTTCCTAGCCCAATCACTGTTGCCTCATGCCTTCAGCATGCCGAGATTCATTGCTTTGGTCTTAGTGCCATCCTCAGCATGCCCCAGCACGTCATTTGGTGTCGGAAAGCGCTTTATCATTATTATCCCTGAGCTCTCCGGAGGACGATCTAGCATCTAAGAATAAAACGGACAACGAGATCTGTGTGATACAGGGCGGCACCAGGTTCTCAGCAGGGCACTACGCCGAATATCAGCGAATGTCAAGTTCAAGCTATCACTATCTCTGATTCACAAACACTGACCACAACTGACCACTGACCTCCACAGATTCTCTCTCCTGATCTTTTCCGGTTTGGACCATTCAGATTGGAGGGGCGAGTGGTCGTCTGAGCGAGTGGCAGTGACGCTAAGCTCTATGCCACTTCGCCTTGGCAGCAACTCTGTGACGATTGTGGCTGGAACAAGCGGGCAAGGAACTCAGAGACGGAATGAGCCAGGCCAGGGATGGCAATATCAACGGAAGCAACAGGGGAGACCATGAACTGAAACACAGTGATTTTTTTTGCGCTGTCCTGTCATTGAAGGAATCAAGGAATCATGGAAAAGTGGGACATGAAAGTGGATGCAAAACATTAAGGCACGTTGAACATGGATCCCCACTTTGAGTTTGATAGTTTGGAAAATCGTCCCACTCATGTGGAAATCTGGTGGTATCCACTCAGATTGCAGCCTTGCCCGTAGAACGGCTCAAGATGAAACCTGTCACGAAAAAAAGGGAGTGCCTTTAGGCGTGGTGCGGATGTGCCAGGTTGAGCTATGCAAATCCCGAGCATTCCAGCAATGCTGTTTCCAAGAAAGGTAGCTTGCTAGGCGCTAGGAACTTATATATATATATATAGTTTGGTTCACTTGCCTAGCCTGCTGGTGAATCTTGTGAACAGCAGCAACATGGTGCTTTCCACATGTTTGATGTTTGGGATGCCAAGTTGCAGGTGAAGGCAGCCGGCTTGGCATGGGTGATGGCGGTGTCGAGGTGTTACGCGGTAACCTGGTGGCATTCTCGGAACCTTCATTTCTCCATTTCCATCAATTTTCTTATTTTTGGATTGCATTTCGGACGGAGACATGCCCTCTTCAGCAATTCAGCTCCAAGCAGGAACAGACGCGCGGATTGCACAATGTTGACTTGATAGATGTATGATGTGTACATATATTGACATTCATGTATATTATTGATGTATGATGATGCATGCATAATATATGCAGCAGTTGGTCGTTGGACTTGCGTGCAATCAGGATATGTCCCTCGAGACCCCCACTTGCCAGCTGCGCTTAGCCAGGCGCAAGCAAGCAATTCAATCAACTAACAAGAAACACGCTATGGGCCGTAAAGGGAGGAATTCACAGCAGACACCGTAGCATCTACATTTACATTGGCCACAGTATTGGTTGGCCACAGACCCACAAAATCGTCTTTGTGTTCCCGCTTTTGTGCCAGAAGCTACTCCTGGCCCTGCGTGCGGGAATTTCGAAGGCAGGAACTTTTGCAACTTTTGTCCTGACAAACGGGCCAACAAGTAGCAAGATGAAGCAAACTATATAGTTACTAATTGCTCTTTCTATGCATTGCATATTTGCACTGAATCTGCTTAGCATGCAATTCAGAGCCCATGTGCAGCCTCCACGAGGGTTGACCCTAGTCGTTTGGGTCTGGCACATTGCGCAACCGATTGCGTCACATTGTCACATGGTCCTGCATTTTGCATTTTATACATTTTAGAGTGAGCCATAGGTTTCAGAAGGCTCAGTTGTAGTGCACTGTAGTCCGTGAGCTCGCCTCGGTTTGGGCAACACCACGAAAGCTTTGCACAGGGAAGAGCTGAAAGGGAGGAAAAGCCAGAAGTGACGAGCAGCTTGGAATACAATCACAGTGACTCAACCAAGTTGAAAGGTAATTGAACTTCGCTACTCCACGAGCCCAGGTTACCGGCCAGTCCTTAAAGTGTTCAGATTCTGTTGAGCTGTGCTGCTCCACGGGCCTCCGCATATGATGCATATGAATTCTCCAAGACATTTGGTTCAATCATGTGAGGGGTCCCTCTTTGGCCAGCTATCTTCTCGCCTACGCTGTGAACAGATGCCAAAGGATAATTATATAGTTAGTTCTATGTGGCCTGGCCTGGAGTTCGAAAAGGACAGGGGAGACTCCCCGAACCTCGTTGCTTTTGCATTGCCCGCCCTTTCGGCCCCCTTTCATCACCCGCCGAGCAGAACAGAACTGCATGTTGCTTTGGAGCCTTGTGAGATCAGCCCGCACGCCCGGCCATTGCCCTGCGATCACTTGAGCAATGGCAGACAAAAAGGCCGGAAGCGACAACAGCGCCTTGGCATGATCCGCTTCTTCTTTTGCTGTTAGTGCACGGCACGGCACACTTTGTACAGTAGTTCCTTGATTGGATTTTTGCCGTTTGCATGACAACCAGCCAGCACAATTTGTCTATCTGATCCCTGGATCGGGCCTTAAAGATCGAACTTGTCTGAGGTACACAAAGTCTGCCGATATTGAGATATTCCCGGAAGTTAACTGCTCTACTCTAGCAGCATACTAGTAGCACATATTCATATACCTGGCAAGCACGATGGCTGGAGAAAGGTTGTTCGAACAACTTAATCAATTGACATGTAACCTCGAGACATCATCTTTGATAGAGAATTCTTCAGAATTTTTGGTGTAGTTGCGCTTAAGGCTGCGCTGGTTTCGGTTTTCCCTTGATTTCCTTTGCATCGCTTTGTCGCAGGCGTGGTCATTTTACCATCCTGCCTCTTCCACATTGGCAACACGCAACGCGAGCAGGATCTACTCAATTTGCCACCACCGCTCTTTGGCTTGGAGTGGGCAAATTTGGAGGGGCATGGAGGAAGGAGAGTTTGCAATCGGACAAACGACGACAAAGATGTTCAGAGTGATTCAAAGCAAATACTATTCCCAAGGTCATGCTCTTCGAATCCAGGCTCAGCAAACCTCTTCCAGCTGAGAACGTCACTCGGCTGCATTTGAATCATGTGATAGAACTACCCCATTATAGAGGACTGGAATTCCCTGTGCAAGCAGGGAACCTGGAATACCAAGACCCAGAGAATAGTAAAGACCAAGCCCCCAAGCCCCAAGCGAGCATAGTAGTGTCGTGTAGTGTTCTCAGCATCTGATGCCGAGGAAGGGCTCTGTTGCTGGGATGCTGGCGCGGACGGCCGCACAGCCGGTGCCACGAGAGAACAAGGCCGTCGAAGGCGTGGATGTGTGCCGGAACAAGGCAGTCCGTCATCCACCATTGATATGTCCGTAGTCCATAGTCAACCCAGTTTAGATTTGTTTACCTTTTTTGTGGGGCGCACTGAGTCTTGTTGGAAATTTGGATGACCCCCTTTTCGTTTGAGTTTGGTCTTTTGGTTGGGTGTGTAACTTGTTGTACGACAGGAGTGACGGTGCAGGGCTTGGAGCTTGTCAAAGCGTGCCCGCATGCATGACTGACAAGCACACGTTGCAATAGGGGTTGCTACCACCCACCGTTCCATTCCCCCCCCAAAAAAGCAATCTGCGGTCGTTCACCTTGGGTCATGTCCTTCCCTTCTTGTCCATTACTTGTCCATGTGATGTTGTTCGTTTTTGTTGTTGTTGTCGTCGTTGTCGTTGTCGTTGTGGTCGTGGTTGTGGTCGTGGTCGTGGTCGTGGTCGTGGTCGTCGTAGTAGTAGTAGTAGTTGTTGTTGTTGTTGTTCTGGTTCTGGTTCTGGTTCTTGTTCTTGTTGCTTCTTGTGGGAAAGTGGGTCAGTAAGAGAATTTGAAGCAGCTGGGGGAAGATCACAAATAATTCAATGCTAGGTGTGCGAGGAGCGTCGCGATTCCACCAGACTTTGAACGCAGGTGGGGGAAGATCAAACTGATGAAGAGAGCAGAGCATGGCAAAGGCGTTTTGCAGCAGTGGTTGTGGCAGAGTCTGACTCAAAAGGCTTTTTGCCATTGTCCGGTGCTCGTTTGTGCTGCTTTAGCTGTCAACTTTGCCCAACCACATGCAGACCACCACTGGCAAGGCCAAATAGGGGCACTTGCATGTTTCACCGTCCTTCCTCTCAGACCTACAAAGACTCCTAGCAGGCCTGGCCAGGTTCCCTGGAACATCTGGAACTGAAGATCTGCCAAAAGTACGGTTTTCTAAAGCATGGGCACCTATCCGAACCACCAGTTCCCATAACTGCTAGGCTGCTAGGCCGGCTCAATCAGAGCTGAAGCCGCATGCATGCCAACTGGCCACATGAGCACTCATGAGCTAGGAAAATATGATGGCGATTTGGCGATTCAGGTGAGCGTTCAGAGAACCGGGTTTGGGTTGCATGTGAATGCATTTTATATAGTGTCTCTTGGGACGTCGTTGTGCATGATCTGAGCCAGCGAGTACTTTGAGCCCAGGCACGGCGAATGCTCCAGGTGCAGCCGCCGCACAAGTCCACAGCCACCAGCTTTCAATTTTAGACTGCCTTGCGTGCCAGTGATGCCTTGACCAAGAGCAGCACTTGTTGGCACTTGCAGGTTGCTGCAGGTCACAGCTCGCTAGCCGAAACTGTTGTCAAACCCAGCAGCACATGGCGGCCAGAATCCGTGTCATGCGGCTGAGGCGACGGAGCGTTGGAGGTGCCAGCAATGCCACGGGCCACTAGCAGCTTGGCCACGGAGTGTGACAGCTGCTCCTATTACTGTATCATCATGTATCATCTATTATCCAAGAGCACACATGAAGCGCAGGAATGGTCGGCTTTTGGTCAGCATTCTCGCAGTTTTACTCGCACAGGCGTTAAACAAGTGGCAGATGCGTGAACACATTAACATTGTATAACATTGAATCCGCATGAATTTTAGTTTGGAAGGTCATATTTCGACCACACACAATCTAGAATGTACGACTTTTTGATTTTGTGGGAGGTGTTGCTATCACTACATACTTGTCACCCTCATTACAGCTATAGTGCAGAGTCGAGCGTAGATCACCCAAAGAAGCATCGCCTAGAACTGTTGTTTTTTTTCTCAATCAAATGTCAAGAAATGTCAACTGCTACAAACAGGGTACCCATTGGTACCACCCTCACCAAGGCAGTGCGAGCTCCTTTCGGCCAAACCGGGAAGGTGCTCAGTTGGGACGATGGGTCGTTGCTGTGTGGCGATGGGTCTGGTGATGTGGTCGGAGTTGAGTCACAACGTGGTGAGAGCGGCCTCTACCGGCGTTGAGGCAAGCGTGTCTTCGCTGCCGGGGATGGTGCTTTCTACTGGAGTCCTTTGGCCTTACAGTGGGGTGGAGGACTTTCGTATGAGGATGAACGTTTGCCAGAAGATTGTTTCAAGTGGCCATTGGGCTGCATGTTCTCCACCTGACCTGTGTTGGTTTAGACCCCCTGCGTTGTGCAGGAATGCGAGTTTGGA